TGAACAAAGAAAAGACAAGACATAAAGGGCCTTTCAATAGGACACCGACTCCTTTAGCTTTGCCACGAACTATATTTTATACATAACGGATCCTAAGTACATATGATGCCTATGTCTATGAAATTTCAAAGCCTGTACAGTATGTTTCTCAGGGAAAGGATGCTGTAAAACAAAATTTCTGAAGCAATGTTCATCCATTTCTATGAGTTGCTTACCAGCACATAGAAATTCCTTATTTAAAAAAAACAAAACAAAAAACAAAAAACCATAAACATTCTACTATCAAATTACAGGCAGAAGGGAGGGCAGGGTGGCATCTCAGGGACTAACTCACTCAGAAACTCATTAGTTACTAAGGTGCCATCCTGCCTTGCCTTCTGCCTGACTTCAGACTAACACAGCTAACTATTTCTCTCTATCAAATTATAGTAATGCTGTGGATACTGTCATATTTATCATGAATAATACAATTTTAAAGTACTACTCCTAGTGCCATATAAATCTTAAAACTTTGCTAAGGCAATTTTTGCAGGATTTTTTCACATATTTCTTTAAAAACATGCAGTGCTGACAAGTGTTAGTAAACAGAATACTGTAGTATGTGGAACACTTAGTATAATAGCATATGGATCCAATATGAAAATTATTGAGTCTGTCCAGAAGAAAATAGACATTTTATATGCAAAAGGCATCTGCAAACACAAAAATTTGCATTCCCTTACACCTTCAAAAAAAATTATGCTCACCGTCCCATTATTTTTAGCTCTTCCCTATCTACAATATTTTATTTGGCTGTTTGCTTTAAGTCTTCAGGTTCCAGGCTTAGGGCAGGTTCTAATTTAAAATGGGTAATACATACCCTCCCACATATGAGCAATCAAGTGCACTATCTGTGCATAACACCCATCCTTTCAAGTCACACAATGATGCATGTTGTGCATCAGAGATGGTAGCCTGGCCCTTTAATTAGAAAGAGATATTGTTTCATCTGAGTTACTACTCTAATTGTTTCTATTTCTGGCCTTGAAAAGAAAATAACTTGACATTATTTTTAAGAACTGGCAGAGTATGAATTCCCAGATAACAGGACTATTTCTTACAAAAGAGAAGTGTGCTGTGACTAAAATGACACAATGTTTGTTTCCTTTTCTTAAAACAAGTTTTGTATGGAAGAGGCAACTATACAGGACTCAATAATTTTATTGTAATAGAGCTATGCAGTGAGCTTATACTTCATATTTTGTGCACCAGATAAAAACCTCTCTAGCAAGGCTGTGCTGATTGATTGTATAATGAAATATATGGCTACTTATGTGAGAAATCTCTGTTTTTGGGAAAGAACAGGAGTGGCTCCAATTCCCCACAAAAGAGACTGCTTAGGACAGCTTCATCTCAATAAAATGGGTCTCTTCACACTTTAAAAAAAATTCCCCAACTAACGTGGTGCTATGCAAGTTTATACCAGTTGAGCATCTGCCCAAACATCTCAAGGACAGAATCATTTTACAATTTTTCTGTTTAATATCTCCTGGTATCTATTGTACAGAGCTGATTTGGTAAAAGGTTCAGTTTTTCCCCTCCCAAGAAGTGAGAGCTGGCTTCATAATAACTAACTAGGACCTGGAACGATCTAATTCAAGATATCCAGCAACACTGTTTCATCAAAGGCACTGCAGCTACCTATCCTGAACTGATCAGATGCTTAGAAAGCCATCTCAGACATCAGATAACTGCACACACACACAGCCACAAACAGACTGATTTTTGAGAAATAAAGGAAATGCACGTGATAAATAAGAGAGAGTAAATTTTGCCTTAACTGCAGTACATAATCTACATCAACCAGATGCCCCGACTTCTCTATACTGAAAAAGAATATACCAGGCAGTCCAGTTTCTGCCTGAAAGGGACATACCTCCTAGTACTCCTGTACTACTGCTGCCTATGAGCTGAACGAACTTGCCCTGAAATTCATCTATAGGAAGGGTGCAAGGACCAAGGCATAGGTAGGCCAGCCTAGTGGGTAGGCCACCAGGAGAGGTCTAGAGGCAAGAGATGGGGGACCCAGAGCTATATGGAAGTGGGCTGTGCAACAGCTAGAGCCCAAATTACCAAAGCCAAGGGGCAATTCCAGAGGCAGAGTCCAAATCACAGCTGAGTCAGGGGCCAAAAGCCAGAGTCCAGAGGCAAAGCCAAACAGGGTCAGAAGTCAGTAAACCAAAGAGAACAAGATCCAGAAAGGCTTACCACAGCAAGCCTTCAGGCAGAACTGTTAGCTAGCCTGTAGTCTTCTGCAGCAGGTTGACTTAAATGGGAAGGCTACTATCCTCAGCAGCTAATCAAGAGACCCTAACAGTGGCCAGCTGGTTCATCAGTTTACTAGAGCCTCTTGGGCAATTAGTCCAGGCTGGGCTGCCTGTTATGGCCCCTGACAAAAGCTGTGCTTTTGATGATAAAAGCAATAAATTCTGGTTCCCATGCTATATGCATTCTATTCAGTTAACAACTATACCTTCTTTATAAACTAGAAGAGAGTTCAACATCTCACAATGTTTGGTCAAAACAGCTTTATCTGTTAAGAGCATGGGCTGGAAAAAGTGCATTGGTTACTGACATAACTATGCTGGCAAAATCCCTTGTGAAAACACTGAGAAGTAGAGTAAATTAGTTCACTCTGGGTGCATCTACACATGCAATTAATTCAAAGTAAACTCCAGAGCAGTTTGAGTAAACTACTCCCAGGTAAAGTGCTTCGGACAGCAGCAATTCATGTTGAGGCATAGCAGCTTATGCCAGGGCTACTCCTGCCTTGCTTTGCCCCAGGCTCTGACTAGCAGCATCTTGTGGCAGAGGGGCTGGCTGGGGCACAAGGGTGCTGAAAGTGTGGAGTCATGTTGTTAGGCAGCAGGCAGGTGTCTGGCCTCTGGCTGGTTGGGCTGTCCAGGTGCAATTTACTCCCACTGTCAGTGTCTACACATGTGTTTAATCATAGTTAATTACTCTGCAATAAGATAATTCTGTCTCTGACAGTACTGTCTTGTGACGGTGTCAATTAGTTTACTGTGAGCTAATACCATCGCACATGTAGACAGTAACATTTTACTCCACAGCTAATTAGTCTACTTCACAGTAAAGCACACATGTCAGCATGGCCACTGAGTTCCATGCTGATGTGGCAAACTGCTCTTAGTTCTTGAGCATATTAAGCTTGAAGTCTGCATTATACTGCAGTCATTTCTGACATCACCCTTGCTTTCGGTTAGGTCCTCTGTTCACAGTATCTCCTACTGGTTTCTGTGACACTATATTCACAAGATCTCAGGAGTGAAGCAGTTAGTTAAAATCTCTCTGTGGAATGCTCCCTGCAACTTCTCCACCACTGGCTTTGTAGATATTACTTCAGTGAATTCCCTCCACTCAGAGTCCATGAAGGCCTTAGAGCCTCCAAATATACAATATTACATATTGAAAAATTACCAGCTATCTCAGTAATTTAGCAAGCCTTAATTCATAAAATATAGTCAAGATGGATTTGAGAAAGTATACTTTGTCTGTGAGTTGCCATGTTAATAAGAAACAAACATGGTCAGGTCTACATGCTGCTTATGACACACAGGGCACATCTAAACATGCATTAATGTGCCATAATTATGGCACATTAAAGTTTAGTACCTGTAATAACAGGTACTAACTTAATGTACCATAATTGGCATTAATGTACAGTAGGCCTATGCAAAGTGGCTAGTATTCATTTTCGATATTTCATTCCAAATCAGCCAGACCCAACCCCCGCCCACTCTCCAAGCCCGGCAATGGCTGTCTCACCGGCCACAGCTCCAGGCACTTATTAAAAAAAAGCCATGGCTCACCAGGTGCTGCCAGGCAGGGGGTGATTCCTGATGCCCCCCACTGCCCTAACACTGTGTGGGGAGCTCTGCATGAGCCCCCCAACCCCTCCCCATGGGTGCCCCACCCGGGCCAGCTCCGGTCCTTTAAGAAAAGATGACCCAAACAAACCCCCAGACTCACTGCTTCTGCCAGCGGGGTGTGATCCTCATTGCCCCCTGATGCCTCCACACCACATGGGGGGCTCTGCATGAGCCCCCAAAGCCCCAAGGCTGCTGCAGGAGTAGTGAGTCCCAAGGCTTTTCTCTGTGTTTTTTTTTTTCTTAAAAGGCCGGAGCTGGCCCAGGTGGGGCACCCGTGGTGGGGGTGGGGAAGTGGGGGGGTCAGGAGACTCATGGCAGAGCTCCCATGCATCATGGAGCAGTGGGGATTGTCCCCCCCTCCCCGCCTGGCAACACCCAGTGAGCACCGGGGCTTTTTTTTAAAGGGCTGGGAGCTGGGGCAGGGGGGCCAGCCATGGGGAGGGGGGGGTAGAGGGCCGGGGTCCCCCCATGATCCCCTCTCCCCTCCCCCAGCTCCCTTTCCCCGCCCCTAGTATTTACCAGCTTGGAGTTGGCTGCAGTTCCCTGCTGCAGCCACCAGGGACTGCCCGAATCATCAAAGCTCTCCGAATCTTTTCCAAAGATTCGGAGAGCTTTGAATCAATTTGGACCTTTAAATTGGTTCAATTCAGATTCGGCCACCAAAATTGGGCCAAATCTCCTCCATATCGAATCAACACCCGAAGCTTCGCATGGACCTACTGTACAGTACCGCTGGTGCACATCTTTTAGGTGATGCGCTAATGCGCTGTAGGATTAGTCTGCTGCACTTCTAGCATCTTATGTAGACACACCCACAGTCTACATATAACTAATCTCACACAATAGATGGGGCACTGGTGTTATCTTTATATTAGGGGACAGAAAGGAAAATCCAGGTAAAAAAAATGAATTGCATATTTATAGAAATGTTCTGTCAAACCACTGAAACTTTAGTGACAGCTATATAATGCAGATTCTGACATTTCTGTATTTGACTACCACTTCAGGACTGAACTGTGAAAACATCAGAAGGGAGCCTTTAGTACACAGTAGGA